GCTAGGATGATGGTAAATTTAGGTGGAATTGAAGCAGATTGAATGACTGGTCCTAGAGCATACTCATTAATAGGTCTTGCACACAGTAGGTACTTAAGGTATAATTAGTTAAGTTGAATTTTCTTCATACCAACTAACCAATAAGCATTTATTAAGTAACTATTATGTCTCAGGCAAACAATCCTTATGCCCCAACAGCTTACGTTTAGTTGGAGGAGACAATACATACAGATATAAGTATATACATAATAATTATACATGTATATGTACCTATATATGTGTATATATATATGTATATATATACACATATATATGTATAAATGCAAAATAATGATGACAGTTAAAAGTTGTTAGGGAGACAGGGCACTAGCATATAGGGGTACTGGAAAGGGAAAGCTTTCAAGAAGGGAGTACATGTTTTGATGAGAGGAATTTCACGAGAGAGAAGCAAGAGTAGAGTTCATTCCAGCATGGGGAATGGACAGTGAAAAGGCACAGAGATGTGAGAGGGAGTGCCATGTTTGAAGAACAGGAAAAGGCCTATGATGAGACTGTAGACTACAGGAAGGGGAATCTTGCATAATGAGGCTAACAAAATAAGTTGGAGCCAATTGAAGAATAGCTTTAAAAGTCAAATAAAGTTTATATCTTAATCCTATAAACAATAAAGAGTCAGTGGAGTATATTGGAGCAACTAGGTGACACAGTGGATAGCATGCTGGGCCTGGAGGCAGGAAAACTCATCTTACTGATTTCAAATCTAGTCCCAGACAATTACTGGTTGTATGACCCTGGGCAAGTTCACTTAATCCCATTTGTCTCCATTTCCTCATCTGCAAAATGAGCTGGAGAAGGTAATAGCAAACTACTCCAATATCTTTGCCAAGAAAATGTGAAGTGGGGTCACAAAGAGTCAGATGCAACTGAAAACAACTGGACAATAAATAATGGAGTAAATTGAGTAGGGGAGTGACATGGTCAGATCTGTGCTTTTGGAAGATCACTTTGGCAGCAATGAAAAGGATGGACTGAAGTGGAGAGAGACTTAAGACAGGGTGACCAAATGGGAGGCTGATGGTAAAAATCCCAACTGCCTCAGACCTGACAAGGAAGCACATTCACTCTTTTATGATTTTTTCCCTCAATTATTCTAATTCTGCAGTGGCTTTCTCCCAAATTATGCATTCATGTATCCCACAAAATAATTATTAGTCAAATTGGATGTAGAACCAAAACAGGTAAGATTTGAGTATGGATGAAACTTGTTTGAGGAAACCCCCAGATCCTCTTCAAGTTCAAAAATACACTGAGATTGCCTTCAGGAGGTTGAGGGTTAGGAAGGAGGTACATTAGGAGTTTATTGAGGGAAGAAATCAAATAAATCTTTTGGATGCTTAAAGATTGGTTGAATGAAAGACCGGCCTTGGATGAAGGGTATGAAAGAGATTTATTTGGGGAGTCAGGTTGGAAGTTTCCTGTGAAAGCACACACCTGGGGAAATCTGAAAATACAAATCCTGATGAAAAGAATTACAGGTCACCATCCCAGTTATCACAACCTTCCCCACAGTTCTTATCTGGCTCATGGTTTGTCCCTTTGGGAAGAAATTCCCATTCTGAATGTGCTAATTTCCTTCATGTTTGCTCTCAAAGCAGTAGATGGAGAGAGTAGTAGTGCTAGGGTCAGTATGCTCTGGCTGCAGCCTCAGAAAAAGCCAGAAACGGTAATGTAAAGTGAAACCACCCTCAGACAAAAGAGAGATGCGATTCTCTCCTTTTTCTGCCTTTTAAGGCATTTCTAAGGGGCAGTGTGAAAAAAAAAAGCAGTGCCTTGTGCATACCCATGCATCTCCTGGAGGCCTCTGGAAGGATTTCAGGACAGAGACAAGGGGGCCTTCTTGGGTAGCACATGGCAAAATCAAAGAATTTGAGGTTTATTCTTGGATCTTCCCCAGACTAATGACTTTGGACATGTCACTAAACATTTTTTGTTTGGAATTATTATTGTTGTTGTTTTTATTACTTGGTCTGGTAACAAAGGAAAAATGAATTCCTTGACTTGTCACTTCCCTGCTGTCACTGAGGCCAATAAAACTGTGCTGTTGACCACTCCTCAGAGACAGTATGGAGTGACCGAACTTGCTAAACACCAGGATCACTGGGATTTGGAAAAGTTAATAAACTCACATAAAATCTCTGTCATTCCCTGCCAGGGAAGGTGCCTATATTTCTGTTAATAAATCTTGGTTATTAAAAAATAAAACTCTGATTTTAACAGTCCAAAGACTTTCTTAGCTTCCCTTGGGAAACTATTTTACATCAAAACACTCCTTGATATTCAACCTAAATTTTGACCTAAGTGTGATTGCACCTCATTCTTCACCTGCATCTCATGTTATTTTCTTTTCATCTCTGGTATTGTTAGCTCTCCTGTCTCAACTCAGATCTGATTAAACCAAGTCATCACAAGATCATAGGACTTAGAACTGAAAGGGATATAAGAGAGAGATTAGTTCAACCCACTCTTTTTATAATGAAGGAGCTGAGGTCCAGAGATGGGAAGGGACTTGTCCAAAGTCACACAGGTGGACAAGAAGGGAGTCAAAACCAGATCGAATGACTTGAAATCTGATGCTCTTTTCAGTACACTGCACGAGTGTGTAAACCAAGATATTTCAATGTCTTTGCAGACTGAAAGCAGTCAGGTTATCTGGAGAGCCCTTTAAAAGTGCTGTCTGCAACAGGGGTTCTTAACCTCGGGTCCATTGGACCCCCTCCTTCCCATAGGGGGCCAAAAATAGATTTCAGGAGGGCCCATAAAATTGGATGGATTGGATATTTTCACTAACTTTTGATCTCTTTTGAAATATTATATATTTTATCTTATGGATTTAAAAACATTATTCTGAGAAGGGATCCAATATCTTGTCAGATTTCCAAAGCAATCCAGGACTCACAAAAGCTTAAGAAAACCTGTTCTATAGCAAGGGAAACAGGGTTAAGTGACTTGCCCAGGGTCACAATAGATATAAGTGTCTGAGGCCAGATTTGAACTCAGGAAGATGAGTCTTTTTGACTCCTGGCCCCACACTCTACCCACTCCACCATCTAGCTGCTTGAGGGTGGGAAACTTCTTAAAATTAAAACTGTCCAAAAAATGAATGGGGTGTTTTGGGACATAGTGGCCTTCTCTCTTTCTTTAAAGACGAAAATCACATGTCTGGGTGGGGTTTGGGGGTTCTTTTGGGGGCTGGACTAAATGGTCAGTGGGATCCCCAGAGGCAGCTAGGTGGTGCAGTGGATACAGCACAGGACCTGGAGTCAGGAAGACCAGAGTTCAAATTCAGCTTAAGTCACTTATTAGCTGTATGACCCTGGGCAAGTCACTTAACATCATTTAACCTTCATTTATTTCAGTTTCCTGAACTATAAAATGAGGATAATAATAGCACTCACCTTGCAGAGTTGTAAGGATCAAACGAGATGTTTGCAGCAAGTGCTTAGCATAGTAGATGCTACATAAATGCTTCATCTATTTCTCTCCACCCCTGCTCAGTCTGGAATTCTATGATTCTGCAATTTTCTACTCCTCTAGGAGAAACATCCAGACACACAGGTAGCAAATGTGCCTCTCATATTTTCTTCAGGTGTTTGTTCCTGAAAAAAAAAAAGCTGATCCCCAGAATCATTGAACTACATTCCCAATGTAATTCAGGGAGGCCCTAGTAATAAAAACAACAATAGACATTTCTCTTGCACTTTAAAGTTTATAAAGTCATTAATTTGAGTAAAACAAGCCCATGGGGTAAAGCACTACAGGTATTTTTATCCTTCTTTTAAAGGAGGGGAAACAGAGGCTCAGAGAAATGGAATAATTTCTACAAGGTCACATAAAAAATTAGTATCTCATATTGATTTTTTTTATCTAAAGATAATAATAATGATAGATAATGCACAGTGCTCTAAAGTTTTCAAAGTGCTATATGTGTATACATATATACATATATATTCTAATTTGATCCCCACAAGGTAGGTATTATTATTATTATTATTATTACTATTGTTATTATTATTATTATTATCCCAGTTTTATAGATGCAGAAAATGAAGCTGATAGAGGTAGAATAAATTGCCTATGGTCACACAGCTAGTAAGTGCCTGAGATATGATCTGAATTCCGGTCATTCTGACTCCACGCCAACACTCTAGCCATTATGACACCTTTGAGCCATTATGACACTTTTGTATGTATCATATGTACACATTGTATCTATCTCCCAATAGAATGTAAGTTCCTTGAGGACAGGTACTCTTTCATTTTTACTGTTTTCCCATTGTCTAGTCCATAGTAGACATTTTATAAATGTTTGTCGATCGATTGCTTAAAATGTCAGGGATGGGATTAGAATAGTAGTCTTGGCTTAGATTCTTAAATCTAGCCACTGCTTACCCAGGTTTTAGACTCCTTAAGAGTCTGCCAATATGGTGGATGTTTTAATAAACCTTGTCTTTGGCTGAAAGAAGGCTTGGGTTGAATTCTTTCAGGCAGGATTTGCATGTTGTGATTCTGGGGTCCCAGGACCCATGAACCCTTAAACTGCATCATTTTGGTTTGAAACACCTGTACAACCTGGTCACTCCCTTCCCTTTAGTCAAGAGGGTATCTGTTAACCCATCTCATAGAAGAGAGTCTCACCCTTTATCCCTCACCTTTGATTTTGCCCTCCCCCACCTGGGAAAGGAAGGAGTGGGGAGGGGCAGCAGCTACAGTGTGGGCCCCCCCTGGAAATGGCCTCGAGCCCTAGGCAACCTTTGCCTGAAAGCATCACCCAGGTTCAGCACATCCTGCTCAAGATTTATGTCTTCCAGACTATGGGCCATTCACCTACAGTAGCAAACAGCGAGTACCAGCCTATATCCCCACATCGTTCCCTGGATGCAGCCTGTGCTCGGTTCCAGTCAAGCTCCTCTTTGGGACTCCCTCAAACAGAGACAGCTCTATGCCCCTTGCCAGCAGGAAGTAGTTTCAGAAGGTGAGATGCCACTTACTCCAAAAGGATTTGTGTCCCATTTGTTTGAGGGGGGAATGATGGGGTTGGAATCTGGGCCCTAGAAAGCAAAAACCCTGGACTTTTTCACATGGCCAAATCTCTGGCATTTGCCCGAGGTTATAATCCCATCACCTGGCCTTTCATTGTGGCTACATGCAATCTCCCCTCCATTGTCTTACCTCCCTATGGCCCCTGGCCATTTCCCCACACTTAATCCTAGCTAGGCTCCATTGTCCAGGTCCCAGGAGTTCTGTTCACCCCAGTTTACTGGCCACTCCTAGGTCCCTCCCGCAATCTTTCTCTATATAAGGTCCACCTTGTCTCCATTAAGATGCTCAGATTCCTAAAATCTAGTCACTGCTTACTCATTTTTAGACTCCTTAAGAGTCTGCCCAATATGACAGATGTTCTAATAAACCTTGTCTTTGGCTGGAAAAAAAAAAGAGCAGTGGTCTTGGTTTCTCAACAGAACACTCTCTGCTATGTCAAATTTCCAACCTATGTGTCCCAATACCCAAATGAAGAGCTCTTCCCTCTGTAGCGAATCATCTCTTATTTCTCTTAGCTTATCATCACTGGACTGTTTCATTACTTGTACCTACAAAGAACATTACATAAGCCAAAACCTAAACCAGAGTAGAGCTCAGGTCTTTTGACTTCTAGGCATGGTCTTTCTATTAGAAAAATGAAAAGGTCAAATCCCAGATGGATTACTACCTCTTTTAATTTCTGGAATTAAGACAGCCATCAGGAAAAAACAAATCAGACCAAAACCAACCCTATTTCAGATATCCTTGCTCCTCTAATTTTGATAAACCACTGTTCTGTCCCCAAAGGCTCTTTGGTTCTTCCAGGCATGCTAACCAGTCCTAAAGGAATATGTGTTCTCATCATCTCACTTGCTCTTTCTAATCATAGCCCGGTCTCTCCCTGGACAGCCGTCAATACAATAATACTGCAGGGAAGCTAATGTTAGTTGTTTCTTTAGAGAAAAGCATACTGACTGTGGTGGAGAACAAAATTCTAATGAATGGAGCCAGGAAGAAGTTAAATTGTATTTCAAGGCATTTTTTTCCCCTCTGTAGTGTAGAGAACTCCCAGTGAGCAAACTCCCCTCCTTTAGTTCAGACACGTACTTGCTCTGCAACTTAGAAAATTGCCTGGCATGACTATTGACCCTGGATTCACCTAGGCAAGAAATGGGATTTTAAACCTAAATCTGCCTGACTCCAAGGACAGCTCTCTCTCTCTCCTTAAGCCATACCACCTCTTGCAGTGATGCTATTATTACTAATTCTTTATATAAACTACCCCACCTACCTGAAAAGAGGCTTCAGGCCCTGGGTGTGATTCATATGGAACTCATACAACATGGTAACAACACAACAAACAGAGAAAAATAAAGCTGCTCCCTGAAATCACATAAAGGTCCAATAGAATGCACTGCCAAAGGGGAAAAAAATGGGAAGGTTACCTGGAGAATGTATGGGCCATGGCTATGGAAAACATATTTGAAAGCAATGTTTTAATGTTGATTAAAGGAAGTCTAGTATGTAAGAGGTAGAATACAAGGTTTGATTAACTGGCTTAATTCCTAAGATATCAAATCACCATGCAGGATTTTGAAAGCTACATTTTTAGAGGTTTGTAGTAGTAGTAGATGAGCAGGGTGAAGGATAAGGAGATCTCAAATTTTGATTATAGGATTCAAGCTCTCAATGTTTTCTTTTCTAAAGATTGTGAATCCCATCTAATAGTTTTGGTACAGTAGACACAGTTGTCTATAGCAGCAAAATTATGCTACAACCTTCTACATGCATTGAGAGAATGAGGGAACTCCAAATAGTCAAGGATTTCTACTCATTGTTCATGAAAAGAATCAGTGTTCACTTGTCTGTAACTTCATTTTTTTTCTTGGGAAGAAATCTCAAGATTATATCAGGCTAAAATCTGTTTCAGTTCACTGGAAGTGCTTACAAGATGGGATATAGAAATTCCTCAAACCAGAAAATTATTTTTTTACCTTATAAAATTGGATGTGTGAAATAATGTGATAATGATTATAATGGTGATGATAATGATGATGGTTTAACATTTATATGGTGCTTAAAAGTTTGCATATATTCTCACAACAATCCAGTGAGTTAAGTGCTATCATTATTCCCATTTTACAGATGAGGAGATGTAGACTTAGAGAGGAGAAGAAATTTACCAGTGGTTATATAACTAGTAAATGTCAGGGCCAGGATTCAAACACAGGTCTATTTTACTCTAAGTCCAGAAACCAAGCGTGCTTACATTTATTCTGGCAGTACCTTTTCTGAAGCCTGACTTTTTCAAAAGTCTTGGAAAATGATGAAATAAAAGAGAATGTGAGTACTAGTTTCCCAACCTGCATGCCAAAAAACTCTAATATATACACACACATATATACATACATATATATGTGTGTGTGTATATATATATATATATATATATAAGTGTATATATACATATTTAATGTAAATTTACTCTGAAAGTAATTTGAAATGAAATTCTAATTAGAAAGGGAAATGTTAAATACCAGTGAACTTAGTTTTACAGCCCCTGACTGAGTGTGACAAATATGAACCTCTTTCTGAAATAACATGAAGGCTGATCTCAGTGTAAATGGACTTAACTCGAGGTTTTCAGTTCTCTGTGTGCTTTTATAACTGGGAAATTATGTAACTCCAGACTGCCACAGTGTGGCAATTATAGGTGTTTGCAGGCAGGGTTTTTCTAGGAGCTTATAAAGATTTATGGGTTGGCAGAGCTTTCTTTCTTTTCTTTCTTTTTTTTTTTAATATCTAAACCCTAAAATCCCAACTTCATTTGTAAACCAACAGGCTTATTTAAAAGAACTTGGGAAAAGAAGATCAAGTTAAAGGTTAACAGTTGGCATTGTGAATGAGGTCTAATTTGTATCCTGACCACTTGGCTACCTCTGGGCAAAGAAGCCCTAAAACATAGCAAGGGCAGACAACCCCACTTTCAAGATCTCTTCACTTTATTTTAAACAAGTCTCATTTATTTCACCAGCATTAAGTTCAAATATGGTAACAAAGTGAGCATAATAGTTTCCCACTGCTTTTCTGGCAGCTGCCCTTATTAGGAAGGAAGCCATTTTCTCTATCTCAAGTTTAATTGGGCTCTGCTAAGCCCAAGTCCCCTGAACTTCAGAGGCCAGGCTTGTTTTTCATCTTAAAGCCAAATTGCTTTGGAAAGAAAGACAAGGATGGGGGTGGGGGTGGGTAGAGGTGGAGCTTGTAACCTTCAGCTGCTAAATGTTACCTCCATTTGCCTTTCCATAGATCAGTTTCTCCCTGGAGGAAGTGAGAGTCTGGATGTGACTTGGTAGAAGAGGCTGGTGACAGTGGGTCCTTGATTTAATCCTGTAGACAGAGAATTCAGTCTTTGTGTAGAGTGCCCTTCCATTACCTTTCTGTAAAAAGGCCTCTCCCCACCTCTGAAGCCATTATCAAGGTCCCTGTGTCCTGCTGAAGTGCCTTGTTCTGGTTGATGAGGGAATGGGGGACCAGGGACTTCCCAAATGTAGACCCCAGGCAATCCTAGTATGTAGGTGGGGACGGATGGGCTGGACTGCAGCCAGAAAAGCAAACCAAGCTGAGTTCATAGCATCTGACTCTCCTGAAAGAGATGACTTAGACAAGATTGATAAATATCTTGTTAAAAAAGGATCATATGTCTGGCAATCTGAGCACAATGACAACAGAGACAGGACAATGTTGCTCTGATTGGATTAAAGAACTTGGAGGCAGCTGCAGCAGCATCAGAGACTTTTAGAGAGAAAAAAAAACACACCCACTGACAGACAGTGTGATTGTATGTGGTGGTGCCAGTGTCTAAGTATATTTCATAGGGGCTGATGTAATGGCTCCTTCGCATCTGAGCCTAAAAGGCTGACATCAAACTGGTAGGCCAAAAGGTGAATATTAACTTTAAGAAAAGTGTTTTTTTTTTCATCTGCTTCCAAGATTTATTTTATCCTTGTTTCACTAGTACACATTCTTAAGGGACGAATGAATATCCCTCAACACAGGGGGTTGAAATGTAGAGGCAATGGTTGTAAACGCAAGTCAGGCCTGGGGGAAGGGAATGCAGAAAATGTTATGGATTTGCTAGCAGGTTTGAGGTTGTTCAAGTCCTTTCCCCTATATAACCATTTCCTCCTTCAGAGAACATTTCCAAGAACATGAGCTTTGAATGAGTAAGACTAGGACATTCAAGAAGAGATCCAATGACCGGGCGGCATCAGTCAACAGCATTTATTAAGTGCTTACTGTGTGTGAGGCACTGTGCTAAATGCTAGGGATACAAAGAAAGGCAAAGACACAGTCTTTGCCCTCAATGGAATAGAAGACAGCCTTGATCTCAGAGGCAGACCAGTTTCTTTCTTGCCAAGGAAAACCTTTTTGTTTCTGTGGGTGGCTGTCAGAGTGTATTCATAATCAGGCTTGACCTTGCCGCTTGGCAGAATAGGATGGTTGCCAATGTGGTGTGATCTGAGGAGCACCGAAAAGTCCAATGGTCTAAATAAATGTCTTTTACCTATTCTGCCTGATGCCATGACTCCCTTCACTGGGGTGATGAATTAAATATTGCCTTAAAAATGAAAATGTTATCTCTGGGGCTAACATATTAAGCAATTATCTGTACTAAGCACCTTACCTATAAACAAAATCTAGGTTAGGTCACTTAGAGGGGTTCTGAGGGAATAAGTCAGGAGGAGTATGTGGGAGTTGGATAGATGTGGTGAAGGGAACGGCTTTAAAGTGAAAGGGAAGTGAGGTGGTTCTTTAAGACGAGTGGTAAAATGGTAGGACCCTGAGCAGCCAGTAAGATTATGGAGCACTGGTTACCAAAGATCCAGATTAGCATAATTTTGCTTGCTCTAAGATATAGTAACCAAGCAGGAGAAGCTGCTAGTTTGAACTCAATTTCTCTTCCTGTTATTAAGAGTAGTAAATACTGCCCTGTCTGCTACTTCAGAATGTTTGCTTCTGAAATAAGAGAGAAGAATTTCCTGCTTGGGAGGGACAGCCAAGGCCTTTGGGCTATACTCCTGCTTGATGCAACATTCTCTCCCTGGGAAGGCAGCCCAGCTGTGTGCCAAAAGCCTTTTGTGCTGTCCAGGGGTGAGGTCAAATGAGAGGGATTCCTCCTTCAACCTTAATTCTTCATTTGAAAAATCTCTGGTGCTTCCTTTTCATTTGAGTCCCTGTCCAAGACCAGAACAGTCCTGCATCTGACGGATGTGGAGAAATAAGACGCATTTCAGATGCATTCCTAAATCATGAACTTTCCTCATTGACGTACACGCCATCGTAGACGATGCAGCTGTACACCACGGATCTTTAAGACTTGATGAAAAACAACTTCAGGACTTCCCTTGCAATGAAGCTGTCTATGTGGCAGAGTTGGCCATTGGGACAGGAGGCTAATGATATTTAAAGAGCAAGCACTGGGATTGGCTGAAGCATTGTAAAGGTAGATTTGGGAGGTGGATTAGGACTCAGGAGAATTGATCATTGATGAACTTAATTTACATCTTTGATAATTTTCCTTGCTGGCTGTTCTTCACACTTCCTCCTGCTACATTTCAGGAAATGCCTTGATCTTAGCACTCAAGCTATAGCCCTTTCATGCTTCCCTCCCCCCCACCTCCAACTATAATTACTGCTAAATTGTATCTGTTGGAGTCTCCGTATTCACCCCCCCGATCTTGACTTTAAGAATTTCATTCTTCCCCATTTTTTATTTTAAACATGAGAATCTTGGCAATTATTAATCATCCTTTCCCAGGAGTTCCACTATCATTAACATATAATGATTTTGTCTGTCCCCTTCTGAAGCTTTGCAAGCCTACCAAAAACTCTGTCTATAACTCCTCTTAAACCCAATACTCCATTCTTTTCTAGGATGATAAGTTTCAAGAGATATGAGGATGATGGAGCTGCTCATCTCCTTTTACATGCTCAGCTTTTCAATCACCCTGGATAATTCCACCATTGCTCTCAATTGCTCATGGCTCTCTTAGGCAGGAAACCACAGAGTAATCTTTGACTTATTATGAACCTTCATTCAGCACATCAAATCCAACATCTTTTGCCTTCACAGTACTTCCTGAATGTTCCTCAGTTCATTTGGGGCTATATTTTGGATGATGGAAAACAACTGTGTTTTCAGAAAGTCTTTGACATCCATTTAGCCTTTTCTCTAAGAGGGAATATAGTTTACAAGGACAATTTACTGGGATCAAAATGATTCAATTGTAGTTAGTTCTTGATTGCAAAGACATTTTTGGAGATGCCCATTTATTTCTCCTTTGCCTGATGGGCTGTCCTTTGCTATCAAATGAGATAATTTGTATGAAGTGCTCTTCAAAGTTTAAAGTACTATACAAATGCCAATTGCCATTATTTTTATTATTGTTGTAATTTGCTTTGTAAACCAAGATGTTGCATCATACTCAGTGGGTGGGACAGGTATAGTAGGATATTTCTCCAGGAGGCATGATGGATTGTTGATGTGACCTATTGAATAGAATACAGTAACTGAAATAATAAAACCCGGATGCAAATCTTACTGTGGATGCTTTCTGGGTGTATGGGAGTTGACAAGTTACTTAACCTTTCTAATCCTCATTTTCCTTCTCTGTAAAATTGGAATAATCATAACTAGTACTTACCTCACTTGGTTGTTGTGAGCAGAAAACAATAGAATGTATATAAAACACTTTGCAAACCTGAATGTGCCATGAAAATGCCAGTCATTATCATAATCATCAAGTATCATCTGGATTTCTCTGAAATAGATCACATATGTTATGAGATGGCTCTTTGCGGACAAGGTACAATCTCGGGTTATACAATAAATGATATCTCTGAGTGAAGTTAACTGGGCTGTATGAGGATTAAGCATGTTAGATTGGCATTATTGGCCACTGCTCTAAGCAATGAAGCTGACTCTTAAAACAGCTATTTCCATTATCTGTTAACAGTTTCATTGTTTAATAGCTTAAAACTGCACTAAGCCTTTTGGAAAACCCTATATATCTTTCATTGTTTTGGTGCCTAGATAAAAGAGCACACTCTAGGATCATTAGGCTTGAAGACAGGCTTTTTCAAAAATATTCTTTGGTATCTGGCACTTAAACAAACGGTATTGGTCTTAAGCACGATTTATTTTAGGAGATATGTTAATAGAATGTTCTTGTATTGAATTTATGTTCTGAAATTGGTTGAAATTGAAAGCAGATGCTTCACCCCCCACCCAAAAGGCCCTCAAAGTTGTGTATTACTGTGGCACTCAGAACTGAACTTGAAGTGAATTTGCTTGGAGGATGACACATCCATTAAAGCATGTGAGCAGGGTCCAAAAATGTGTGATGAATAACAATAACACCTTATGTTGGTTTAGCATTCTATACTCTTTTGAGCCAACTCCACTGGAGGCATGTTAGTATTAGTAGTGTTAGTTGGCATTTATATAGCACCTACTATGTGCCAAGTGTTGTGCTAAATACTCTATTAATATCTCATTTGATCCTCACAACAAGACTATTATTATCTCCATTTTGCAGTTGAGGAAACTGAGGCAGACAGAGGCTAAGTGGCTTGCCCAGGGTCACACAGGTACACAGGAAATGGATGTCAGAGCAGGGATTTGACCTCAGGTCCTCTGATCCCAAATCCAGTACTTTTTCAGTTGCATCATTTTGTGGAAGACCCAGGATTAGAACCCTGGTCTTCTGAAAGGGATGGAGGGAATGGAGACTCAGGTTCTAGTCTTTGCCAGCCATGCTACTAGTTAGTTGTGCAATCTCAAACAGGTTACTTAATTTGTTTGGTCTATAAATAAGGAGGTTAGACTAGAAAAACTCTTAGGCTTCTTCCAACTCTAACATTCTAGAAATCGTAGAATCCTAAAAGATTATTGCTCTAATAATCATTCCCCTCTGGGGCTAAAGTGGTCTGGAATTACTGAAGAAGAAAGCAATGATCTTTGTCACAAGGTAAACACTTTCTTGTCTTCCTATCTGAGACTGATTTAGAAACTGTCATATAGCTTATCATCATGCTGGTATAACATAATTCTTTAATTTCAGAGGTAAGATTTTTTGCAAACCTACCTGGGCACTGCCATTTGTGGATCTGGGCAAAAACTGAACTGCAAAGTTAAGAAACTCAACCATTTCCCCCCTCTTTCTTCCACACTTAGCTTCCTGTTTCTATGGCAATGAATGGGATGTTTTGCACTAAGAAATACTTTAAATGCCACTGGGAGAAGGTAAGATCCACACAGGATTCTCTATAGAGCATGAAAGAGAGTGAGGTGAAGAGAGAGAAATGAAGGGATGCTAAGAAGGAAATCGAGCGGAATAAGGAGAGAAAAAGGAAAGCTTGGAATGGAGGTGGGGAGAGTGGGGCAAAGACTGAACCCTAGTAGGAAAGAATGTGGCTTAGAGAATAATGTGGGAATCAGGAGGTGTAGCCATTAAGTATGAACATTCATACTTACAGACATACTACAGCGTAGACACAGATGAAGAATCTGGAGTCCAGAGGGCATGGCCCTTACCTTATTCTGTTGAATGCCAGTTAGACATCATTTGCTTTTTTCTACTTTATTAAGTATTCACAGAAGTCATGATGGGATCTGTGGCTCCCAGTTGGTAGTGATGGGTGGTGGGGGAAGGGTTCTTGGGAAATAACACTGTAGGAACTCAGGGTCTCTCCCAAGTCTCACCACTTAGGGTCTCACCACTCTAGGAATTCTTTCAAGGGGAGTTCCTGCAGTTAAACCCTGAGTTAATGAAGCTCTTTGGGAGTCACACTATATTTACAGATCTACTTCAAACTCCTAGGGATTCCAGGGCCCTTCACAAACAGGTTTCAGCTTTCTAATCTTCCTGACACATTCCTTTTTCTCTGTCCAGGCCTGTGCATGAGACGGTGTTGTGGAATGGAGAAGAAAGCTCTGAGTCAGAAGATTTGGGCTCAAATTCCAGATGCTGTACTCACATCTATGTGGCTTTGAGCATCACTTAACCTTGTTTCTCTATAAAATTGAGGAGTTTGTGCTAGATGACTATCAGCTCCCTGAGACTGTTGTTCCATTCTTTGTGTTTGCATGTCCAGAGTCTAATTCAGAGCCTGGTACATAGTGGGCACTTCATAAATGCCTGTGGATTGATTGTGGCTTTAAATACTGGGAATCTACTCTCCATTCTATGAATAAGTGTGTTACTTTTCTGCATCTCTCTTTTTACTCCTATCATTTGCAGTGTCTCAAAGGCTCTTATAGAATTCCTGCCCCACCCTTCAAGATCTAGTTCTGGTTTCACTCTCCTGATCTCCCTAGCTAGGAATGTTCTTCCTACCCTTTAGGCTTCTGTAGGATTTTGATGTACTTCTCCTTCAGGCTCGTCACTTTCTGCCTTGTATCATAGTTATTTGTATGTGTTTGTCTTATCTTTCCTACTAGGTTGTAGATCCCTTGAAAGTAGCTTTTGTGTCCTTGTCTCCCTTACCAAACAGTACAGTTTCTTGTGCAAAGTAGGCATTCAATAGATATCTATTGGATGAATGAATAAAATATATCCTAAAGACCATACATCTCAGAGGTACTGAAGGTCCCCGTATTTCAGGTTAGGAGCTTAAGTCTGACTGTTCTAATGTTTATTTTGTATAGGTTAATGCAGGGGTGGGGCACCTGCAGGCTCAAGGCCTTCTAGGTCTTTGGGTGCAGCCTTTTGACTGAGTCCAAGTTTTACAGAACAAATCCTCTTATTAAGGGGATTTGTTCTGTAAAGTTTGGATTCAGTCAAAGGGCCCCTCTTGAGGACCTAGAGGGCACATATGGCCTTGAGTCTGCAGGTTCCACATCCTTGGATGACTAGAAAATCTGCTGCCTTCTCTTCATTTTTCTTAGCAGGCTGGTGGCATTTCCAGTAGTTGATATCACCTGATAATAAGAGTTAGAAGTTAAAGGGATTATTTTCTTTGAGGGGAGAAATGCAACATTGAGGGGAGAAGGACTATAGGGATTGGCAGCAAAGCTGGAGGGATGATTGAGAAAAAATATATTTTAAAATTGACATTAAACCTTATGATGAGAGGCAGAATAGTATAGCGGACAGAGGACTGAGGTTGAAATAAGGAGGACTTGGCTTGAAATCCTGCTTGGATACATCCTGGTTGTGTGACCATACAAAAGTCATTCAATATCTCAGTGCCTCAAGCAATTCTCTACGGTTAGAAATTACAGATGAGTTTCCGTTTTATATCAGTAGAAGGAGTTTCCACACCAGGAATTCCCCACAACAAGGAAATGATAGCTCTGAGTCTAGACCAAAATTAAAAAAAAAAATCCTTACAAATCTGTGACCCAAGCAGCTACTTTTCCACCTCCTTTTTAATTCTATCATTGTTACCTTTTAATTGCCAAGTAAAAACAAATTGAAGCTAGTTATGAATTCTTTTTTGGAAAAAAAAATGTTCCCCTACAGAGGTGTAAGCTCCTTGAAAGCAGGGATTGTCTCACTTTTTATTTATAACACTAGTGACTAGCACAGTGCCTGGCACAGAATACGTATTTTACTGATTGGTAGATTGACTGATTAATAGTGTATGAGCTGGATTCAAGGGAAAGATCCCGTCAAAGGTTGCTATCAAACAGCAACGTATCTTAGTCGAATGAGCAGCTCTGCAGAAAAGGCCTTCTCATATTTGTGATCAGGGGCCCATAAAAAGGTTCACCTACAGCTGCTGCATGTGATAACTGGTTGCCTGTAAAGGAAAGTTGACCAGGAGTCCTATGAGCCAATGACAGGTGGACTGGAAATAAGCCCACAGAAAGAAATAGGATTCCAGAAAGTTCAGGAAATGGCCAGGGTCCAGTCCAAACAGCCAGGGGCAGGGACTGAGGTGAGTATCAGGCCCAGGATAGTTACAGGGAGGTACCTCTTCCTAAGGGTTTGGTTAAGGGGAACAGGTTTATTTTCAGTTAATCTAGGGATGCCCAAATTGACGTATAGTTGCCACAAATTGGTATGTTAACTTCAAGAGGCCCTCACTTATGTATGATAAAATAAGCTCATTTATGCATTTTACTAGAATAATATTCAAGTATGTGTTGTTACACTCCTAAAATACAGGATAGATCCGTAAACTTGTTGTAGAAAGGAGGTTAATGATAGATTTGCAGTTCCATGTATAATCATCTCTTTTATTATACTATATTGTGGAAATGCTTGATTTATTCCATAAATTAAAAATAAAATATACATTTAAAAAAAAGAAAGGAGGGATTGGAAGAAAGGGTCAGGATTTCTCAATGTAATAACAGAGAGTTTGACCTGAAATTGCCACATTTCCCAAGTTCATAATTCCTTCGCAGGCCGGAAGTGGTAGAAGGAGAAAAACTTAATTCTCTTTTTGCTTATAAGAGATATGGGTACAAGAGAGATATAGGTTCTACAATTGGTCGTCACCCAACAGCACAAACTGAGCAGCTATTGTCAAGCAAAGTAAATATTTGTTGAATAAATATTTGTTGGTTGATTTGATTAATCATACTGAGAATGTGAGGACAGGATGTTTTTTAAAAAGTACTTCTTATATCAAGACTTATTCTTCATCTCTGCTGCAACCACCTTACTTTAAGCCAGTGTCACTTCATGACTATATTACTTCCAAAGCACCCTAGCTGGCTTCCTTGACATCTTCCTACTATGGTACCTCCTCTCTGTGTTGCATCCAGACTAGCATCCTTATGCAGCATTCCTCTACATAAAACATTAAATGGATCCCCTATACTTCAAGCCCAAATACTTGAGCCTTGCTTTTAGTGCTTCTATAATCAGGAGCTGCCCTAGCTATCTAGGTTTCCTTCTACTCCCTTACATGTACTCTCTAACCCAACCAGTAATAAAAATACTACTACTGCTAATATACCTGCTAATAAAACCAACGACGACTAATATAACACTTTAAGGTTTGCAAAGTACTTTACAAATATTATCTCATGTGATCCTTACAACAACCCTGAGAGGTAGGTGCTATTATTTATTCCCACTTTACAGATGAGGGAACTGAGTCAGAGAAGGGTTAAGTGACTTGCCTAGGGTCACACAGCTGGATTTGAACTCATACTTCCTTACTCCAAGTCCAACATTTTGTTACCTCTGACACCTAGCTGCATCAGTATAACCTGCTCAATTCCCTATGAACACAAAATCCAAGCCTTTAGACCTTTATTCATGGTTATCCTCTCCTGGAATGCCCCATCCTTTCATCTTAGTCTATCTAAATTCAACTCATCCTTTAGGAGACAACTCAAACCCACCTCCTTTCAAAGCCTTCACTGAACATTCCAATTCACATCAGGATAACAGAATAGTATAACTGCATAATGCTAGAGCTGGAAGGGACCAATATATCTTTAAGTCCACCCTCCTACCTCTCCTTTTGCAGAAGAGGAAGCTTAGGCCTAAAAAAGACAAATGGCTTTCCCAAGGTTGTATAAGCTAGTCAACAACAGAGCCAAGATCTCTTGATTTTCAGGTTTTCTGACTAGACTCTGACTCCTAGGCTTTCCCTACTGGATCATTCCCTTTTCCCAATTCCGTGCCATATTCTGTGCCACAAAAGTCAGCACTTCTTAAGTGTGTATATGCACACATACAAATGTGTATATATCCACCTGAATAACATATGTATATGGGTTTGTGCGTGTCTGTGTCGTTTAGTCATTTCAGTCGTATCTGACTCTTTGTGACCCCATTTGGGGTTTTGTTGGCAGAGATACCGGAGTTACTTTGCCATTTCCTTCTCCAGATCATTTTACAGATGAAGAAACTGAAGCAAATAGGGTTAAGTGACCTGCCCAGGGTCACACAGCTATTGAGTGTCCGAGGCCAGATTTGAACTCAGGTCTTCCTGACCCTAGGCCTGCCACATAGCTGCATATCTATCTATCACAACAATCATTTTTTGTTATATATATAATATATATTAACAGCAATAATATTTTATATACTTATATGGTATTGTTATATGTAAAGTATTGTTTTATATATATACATGTGTATGTATGTGTGTGTGTGTGTGTGTATGATTATTCAACAATTGTTTTAGGTGTGTTGGTCTTATTTTCTTACCTAAGTCCTAAACTCCTGGGGAGCAGGGATTCTGCCTCATTTGGCTCATAGGCTTCAGAGAGAAAAATGATCTTATGTATCATTTAGTCCAATTGTTTCATTTTACAGATGAAGAAACTGAAGCCTAGAGAGTATGATGCTCATTTTTACTCAGAGGAGCGGAAGGAAAAAACTGTGACTTCATTAGTTCAGAAATCATGCCCAAGGAGATCAGCAGCTCATCTGAGACCAAGCTGGGGCACTTGAAACATTAGATCGCTTTCCCTTGGTAATACAGCTGGTATGTGTCCAAGGTTGTACTTGAACCTACATCTTCTTGACTTGGAGGCCAGCTTTTTATATTTAGACTTTTTTGACTTCCATTCCATTCAAGAAGCATTAAGTCCTTTCTATACACCAGTCATTGCAATATAGGACCTGGGCATACAAAGGCAAAAACAAAAAAAACCAGTCCTTATTCTGAAAGTGATTATGTTCCGCTGAGAGGTACAAGAGGTGAACAAATATGTAAATAAAAGATAATTAGATGTAGGAGAGCTCACTAACAACTAAGGGGTATAGGAAAGGCTTCCAGTGGCAAGCAGAACCTGAGTGCTGGTGAGCCTCAAAGAAAGCTGAGAATTCCAAGAAGTGGAAGTGAGAAGGGAGGGCGTTTCAAGGCCTGGGGCCATTTTGTTCAAAAGCACAAGAGAAGGAGATGGGATATGGCGCCTGGGACCAGTTGGGTTGGAACATGGAAAGAGATGAACAAGTATCAAAAATAGGCCAGCTCAGGTACCTACCTAAGAAAAATTGCATGGGGTTGAAGAGAATGTGGATTTTGAAGAATTGATAGCAACAGATAACTGATAACTTTTTCAAAAAATCTGCAGTAAAGGGAGAGGTGAGACGTTGGTAGGGGATAGAGTTGAAG